AAGGAGTCAAAAACATATCGTGAATTAAAATTAAATTAATATCTTCAACCACAAAAAAGTTCAGGATGTATTTAAAAATTAATCAACAAAAACTCAACGTTCTTAGTCATTTCAGGGTCTTATCAATTTAATGGAAACATGAAGATAAAATTAATGGCGAATTCACAAATCAAATTGAAACCAGAGAAAAAAATCATTGGATGATAAGGGAATATTTGAGATTTGCACCCATTTTCATCCCATGTGGAAAAGAAATAAATAAAAAGGCGAGATATACTTACATGGTAATCAAGTCCAACTTGCAGTATAGGTTTTTCTCACGAATACACTTATCAAATCGCGCATCAAACGTCAAGCACAACTCCACAACACAACACTAATTGAAGGTACTATGCGCTGATCTGAACTAATCATATTCCTTTTTTTATGCCCATTCCAACGAGCTATCATAATACATATCTTTACATTTGAAGAAAAAAAAAGTTGGGGGTGGTTTCTACACTTAAGAGAGGGGTAAATTCCATGAAAAGGCCGAAAAAATGTGCCAAACTAAAAATAAAGGGACCCGTGTTTTTTTTTATTTTTCCAGAAAATAAACAGGCTTTCTGATAATTAATTTATTCCATTTAAAAATTCCACCCTGTTTGAATGAAACAAAAGCAAATGCGTTAGCCTAAGTTTTTTGAGATAAACATATTTAGCAGCAAAAGAGAAGTAGGTAGAGTAAAAGCACGTGGCTGAAGTTAGCTTCATTTTCATATTCAGATTCGTGTATATTACTCGACCAGATAATTATTATTGAAAAGAAAAATTAAAAAACCGCGAAATTGAATCAAACAGAATTACTATATTATGTAGGGGATTTCTGGGATTCGGAAAAGGTAGAAATAACCCTCAGGCACATTCGAGAATATTTTCTCCAGTTAAGTTAGGTCTGGAAAAGTCACTACGGGGGAAAAACGATAATTTGTTTGAAAATTTGTGGAGAATTATTGATGCCTTGTGGGTATTTTTTGGAATTTGAGAATGATGGAGTTGACCCTTGAGCACAGTTCAGAAGTGTTTTTACGGTCAAGTTAGGTCTGCGAGAGTCCCTACGGGGGAAAGTCGATAATTTGTTGGAAAATTCGTGAAAAATTAATGATGCTTTGTAAGGATTTTTTGAAGTTTGAGAATGATAGAGTTGACCCTAAAGCCGAGTCCAGAATAGTTTTTGCATTCAAGTTAGGTCTGGGAGATTCATTACGGGGGGAAGTCGATAATTTTTTGGAAAATTCGTGAGAAATTAATGATACTTTGTAGGGATTTTTTGAAGTTTGAGAATGATAGGGTTGATCCTAAAGCACAGTCCAGAATAGCTTTTGCATTCAAGTTAGGTCTGGGAGATTCATTACGGGGGGAAGTCGATAATTTATTGGAAAATTCGTGAAAAAGTAATGATACATTGTAGGGATTTTTTGAAGTTTGAGAATGATAGAGTTGATCCTAAAGCACAGTCCAGAATAGTTTTTGCATTCAAGTTAGGTCTGGGAGATTAATTACGGGGGGAAGTCGATAATTTATTGGAAAATTCGTGAAAAATTAATGATACTTTGTAGGTATTTTTTGGAATTTTAGAATGATAGAGTTGACCCTAAAGCACAATCCAGAATAGTTTTTGCATTCAACTTAGGTCTGCGAGATTCATTACGGGGGGAGGTTTATAGCCTCTACCTGTAATTACCGCTAAGGTGTTTGTAAAGTGTACCAATAAATAAATAAATAAATAAATGAATAATTTATTGAAAAATTCGTCAAAAATTAATGATAATTTGTAGGGATTTTTTGAAGTTAGGGAATGATAGAGTTGACCCTAAAGCCGAGTACAGAATATTTTTTGCATTCAAGTTAGGTCTGAGAGATTCATTACGGGGGGAAGTCTAAAATTTGTTGGAAAAATCGTGAAAAATTAATGATAATTTGTAGGGATTTTCTGAAGTTTGAGAATGATAGAGTTGATCCTAAAGCACAGTCCAGAATAGTTTTTGCATTCAAGTTAGGTCTGGGAGATTCATTACGGGGAGAAGTCGATAATTTGTTGAAAAATTCGTGAAAAATTATTGAAAATTTGTAGGGATTTTTTGAAGTTTGAGAATGATAGAGTTGATCCTAAAGCACAGTCCAGAATAGTTTTTGCATTCAAGTTGGGTCTGGGAGATTCATTACGGGGGGAAGTCGATAATTTGTTGGAAAATTCGTGAAAAATTATTGATAACTTGTAGGGATTTTTTGAAGTTTGAGGATGATAGTGTTGATCCTAAAGCACAGTCCAGAATAGTTTTTGCATTCAAGTTAGGTCTGGGAGATTCATTACGGGGGGAAGTCGATAATTTGTTGAAAAATTCGTGAAAAATTAATGATAATTTGTAGGGTTTTTTTGATGTTTGAGAATAATAGAGTTGATCCTAAAGCACAGTCCAGAATAGTTTTTGCATTCAAGTTAGGTCTGGGAGATTCATTACGGCGGGAAGTCGATAATTTGTTGAAAAATTCGTGAAAAATTAATGATAATTTGTAGGGATTTTTTGAAGTTTGAGAATGATAGAGTTGATCCTAAAGCACAGTCCAGAATAGTTTTTGCATTCAAGTTAGGTCTGGGAGATTCATTACGGGGGGAAATCGATAATTTGTTGGAAAATTCGTGAAAAATTAATGATACTATATAGGGATTTTTTGAAGTTTGAGAATGATAGAGTTGATCTTCCAGCACAGTCCAGAATAGTTTTTGTATTCAAGTTAGGTCTGCGAGATTCATTACGGGGGCAAGTCTATAATTTGTTGGAAAAATCGTGAAAAATTAATGATAATTTGTAGGGATTTTTTGAAGTTTGAGAATGATAGAGTTGATCCTAAAGCACAGTCTAGAATAGTTTTTGCATTCAAGTTAGGTCTGGGAGATTCATTACGGGGGGAAATCGATAATTTGTTGGAAAATTCGTGAAAAATTAATGATACTTTATAGGGATTTTTTGAAGTTTGAGAATGATAGAGTTGATCTTGAAGCACAGTCCAGAATAGTTTATGTATTCAAGTTAGGTCTGGGACATTCATTACGGGGGGAAGTCGATAATTTGTTGAAAAATCCGTGAAAAATTAATGATAATTTGTAAGGATTTTTTGAAGTTTGAGAATGATATAGTTGACCCTAAAGCCGAGTCCAGAATAGTTTTTGCATTCAAGTTAGGTCTGGGAGATTCATTACGGGGGGAAGTCAATAATTTTTTGGAAAATTCGTGAAAAATTAATGATACTTTGTAGGGATTTTTTGAAGTTTGAGAATGATAGAGTTGATCCTAAAGCACAGTCCAGAATAGTTTTTGTATTCAAGTTAGGTCTGGGAGATTCATTACGGGGGGAAGTCGATAATTTGTTGAAAAATTCGTGAAAAATTAATGATAATTTGTAAGGATTTTTTGAAGTTTGAGAATGATATAGTTGACCCTAAAGCCGAGTCCAGAATAGTTTTTGCATTCAAGTTAGGTCTGGGAGATTCATTACGGGGGGAAGTCAATAATTTTTTGGAAAATTCGTGAAAAATTAATGATACTTTGTAGAGATTTTTTGAAGTTTGAGAATGAAAGAGTTGATCCTAAAGCACAGTCCAGAATAGTTTTTACATTCAAGTTAGGTCTGGGAGATTCATTACGGGGATTCATTACGTGCATGCACCTGCCATTGCTCTTTTTAAAGGGCCCTGCCTCTGGCAAATTGTCAGAGATGTGTTCACTTTCTAGATAATGCACCATTAATAATATTGACACCTACATACATATACATTATTGTATATTCATCTAAACATTTTTATTTTGGCAGAGGAGAAGTGTACATTGATAGTCGAAGCAAAGTGTGTAATTTAATTTTCTCTGCCTAATAATAAACAACAATTTCAAGTAGGCTAAAAAATCAATACAATTTTTTAGCAAAATGAACTTCAAATCATAGCAAGAATTCACTTGTAGTAACAACTTTTGAGATGTATTTTTTAGTGAATATAGTTGACGACAATTATGTGTACTTTTTCATTCTCTTGCCCCTTGATCCTATCTTGGGCAAAAAGTATCTGTCTGTGACAGCTATTATTGCACATTTTGATCACCTGCCCTTCAATCGATTAGGTAATAATTTTTCCAAAAAATTAAGTTTTACTTTTTTTACAATTTATGATGCCTATTGAATTTAGCAAGTATTTTGTGAGGACACCTTTTCATATGCCAGATTTGGGAAAAAGGACCATTAGTTTTCTCTATGTGCGTATAATATATCCTTGGTTCAGACCTCCCAACAGTCTCATGGCGGTAAAAACCTCCTACCCAGCAGACTTAAATTGTATTATTTGAGTGTAACGAAAATCAACACTCAAAATTCTCTAATTTGTGATGTTACAATTTAAACACAATTTTTTTTTGTCAGTGATTCGACAGGATACAAGTTTAAATTTATTCCTGGCAGTAAATAGACTTTTGAGGGAAAGCACAGCAGCTCTAGTGGCAGGCAGACCTGAGCCATTCAGGTTGGCTGCGAGTTTGAAAACCTATAATGCCCTCCATCTTACCTAATATAATCTAAAATCTGGATTTAAAGAACTTTCATAATTCAAACATTTTTTGACAAAGAACAATAATTACTAATTGACTCAGCAGACGAATAAATATGTACACCCCCCAGTTTGGCAAAGTTCTGTTATCCATCTAGTTTATGTTAGAATTTCGCCATAGAAGCATAATAATCCAATCAAAATTGACCTTTTTATACTCAAGGAAAGTTTATAAAAATCAAAAGACACCATTTATTAACACAGTATCCTTCGCAACGAGCGCATTAATAACAATATATAAAACATTACTGACCTGACAAATTTCTTGGTTGTGTTGGCAATTTCTGTCTCCATTACATTTTAACAAGTTCTAGGCATACATTTTTTTGGTCTGTGAGAAATTAAATTACACAAAATATTGGTAGGAATAATGTTTAATAAATTTAAAGATAAATTTGAGTAAACAGTAGGTAAATTATCTACAAGTATACAAATTTTGTTCCATAAGTTCACTATATAATAACAACTTTTATAAGAACTCAGCAGTCATTAAAAAAAAAACTATTTAAAAAATCGTTTTGAGTTTTGACTAAAAGTGTTCGTAGAGCAAAAAAATTTTTTCTAAAGGACCATTTGAAATAACAGCAATCACTTAATAAATAATAAAACACGTGTCTTTTAGTACATTATTTTTTGCTTCTAGCAGTGTTCAAGTTTGAAATACGTAACTGATTATTTCAATGGTCCTTCGAGCAAGTATTTGAATAACAGCATCTAGAGAGCAAAAATTTATTATATTTAAATGTTTATAAGGTTTTGAGCATATCCATACAAGATCATTCTTCTTATTTTTGGGTGATTTTGTGTTAAGTTAAAATACAATAAAAACAGATCTAATAGTGATGTCTTTAATGGATATACCACAAAAATATCTAAATGTTTCTATGTTTCATTTATATTTAATATTTTACCATATTTCGTTGCATAAATACGTTATAAATTGGATCACAATTGCAGTTCATATAGTGAACACTATAAAGCGTGAATATAACAAATATTTTTAAACTTGCAATATTTTAGTTCAATAAAAACTGGCAAATGGCGAGCAAATATTGTATACTAATATTGCAAAATTTAAATAACGCTAACAATATTTGCGTATAGCACCCAGTCTAATATTTTAAAAGTTCTTTCTGGAAATGTACTTTATATAAAAGAAACTACTAATTTAATTTAAACAATGTGGTCCACTTAACCTACAGTTTTTTGATCTAGAAAATAGAAGGAATATAAAATTTAAATTTAAGGACAAAAATATCTAACAATCTATAAATGTATTTAAAAATAATGTGAAAAAGATCTAAAAGTGCTCCACTGTTATACAGAATTATATTTTTAAATATTTCTGAATAGTAAAAATTACTTTACGGAAAAAATGAGTTGTTTGGATTCTATTAAAATTTTTGGGAAACACTTGCCACCAAGTTGGAATAACCCGAGGAATAACAAGACTAGAGATGTGAAAAATCTATGAAGCACTTTCACATATATTAATTTATTAACATTATGGGTTTTATTATCCTACACGTTATTTATTTCATATCTAGAATCTAGAATTTTTATTGATATGGTATTATTGGTGACATGGAATGAAAAAAGGGAATGTTGAATATTGTAATCTTATTTTTTTCACACAAAACATTTCGAATTTCAACAACACTAAAATGTGTCGAGTTTCTATCAAAAATAGGGAGCCTATCAATATAAAGCTACTAAAAGTTCTAAAAATATTGAATACTGTGAATAATTTTATAAGAAAATGCAGTTTTTTTGGTCAAAAGGTGGTAATTTTCTATTTCCAAAAATATTTCCAGCTGTAATTAGTCAAAAAACAGATATGGCATTTCATATGTTGAGGAAACCTTGTTGCCTGATGTTTTCTGAATTTGATTTATTAACAAAAAATGTCTAATTTCAAAACAAGAATAAAATGTAGTACAATTCATAAAAAATATTTTCCATCAATTGTTTAACTTTTATTTTCTCATGAAGGTTTAGATTCTAAAATATTTGAAACTGCAATATTTTTGTCATTGAGGAGACAGAAACCATTGATTAGCTACAGCATGTTGACCCTTGCGTAGAAAAAAATCTTTTTGGCACTTCTATATGAGTGTAAAAACAATAGTTATTGCATTGAGTTCTATAGGGGATGGAAGAGCCACATACTTATAGAAGTTGGTTGAGAAACTCTTCAAGCCAAATACGTCCAGAGATATCATTGTGGAGAAACTTCTGGAATTACTATAGCAACATCAAGGTTTGCATTGCCTTTTTTATACCTTGAATAACATAAAAATTGTTTAAAATTCTCTAGAGGCTAATAATTCTACCATAGACAATTTTTGTTTTAATTCAAATCAGCTAATTTCATGAGTACTGTGTATCAAAACACAAATGAACTATTGTCGAAAAAACGGTGTACCTACTTAAGTACACAATATATCAATACCCAGAAAGTGTATTTTTCAAATTCAGAATGCCAGTTCCGTCTACTCACCCGAAAAACAATACTTTCCGGGCTCATACATACTATTTCCCAGAAAGAACAAAAAAAAATCTAAGTTAATTGTATGAATTCTAAACTATTTTACATAACCTCACATTTATCCTTGGCCACACGACTATTGGCTTTACCTCCCACATTAAGGCTGACATTGCGTGACTTCTCAAGATTCAGCAATTCTTGAAATAACTGTTTTACGTTGTGATTCGTTTTCGCTGATGTTTCCATGAAACTGACCCCCCATTCAGCAGCTTGTGCTTGTCCTTCAGATGTTGAAACCTTAATTAGATGTAATAAATAACATTATAGGATGAGCGTTAAAAAAATACCTCTCGTAATTCTGCACTTTCATCACATTTATTTCCAGTAAGCATGATCGGAATTTGACCCAAGTCTGGTCCTTTCAGTTCCTTTATTACTTCATATATGGGTTTTAGTTCTTCCAAACTTTGACGGCTGCATACAGAGTAAACCAAAATAAATGCATGACCTAAAAATAACATTAGGATAGTAAAGCCTAGACTTTAAGAGAGCTTTTCATTAAGGAGGTTGTCAAAACATATATTTCTTGAACAAAATTGAAATTGTATATAAGGAATGGCAGTCATCAGGACAAAAAAAAATATATCTATAATAATAGTTCCCCAAAGGTTTTGTGTTTGATGTACACTACTTCTTCCAGGATTAGATTCGCAGTTCAGCCTGACTCTAACTTGAAGCAAAGCTATGGAATAAAGTAGTTCAGAAAAAAAACACTCATGGGGAGAAACTGTAGGTACGTCTAATAAAATAATACTTATCTAGGAGGTAAAATAAATGCAGAGAGTTGGAGAATACTTGAAAACATCAGTACAACAAAAACAAAGAATATCAATAAAATAATACTCCAGCAATGGAAAGTGTATTTCGAAGAATTACTGACAGAACAACGGGCAGAGTTAAAAAAACAAAGAGAACAGACACAAAACATAAAAACCGCAGGTTCACCAATAAGAGTTATATACTCGGTTTGAAGGAAGAAGTTGAAAAACAGAGTAGCTTCTTGAAAAATGGAAGAGCGCCAGGTCCTGGAGAAATGTATTGCGAACTTGTAAAGTATGGCAGCTAGAGACGTTACAAACACATAAGAAAACTATTCCAAACATCCATAGATAGACAAGAAGTACCAGAAGAGTGGAAAATACGCCATTTAACAACAATATACCAGGTAAAAGTAACTACATTGGGATTTCGGAAACGGTAAGAGAAACAATTTAATCGAGTCACATCTTAGTTATGGGCAATTGCTTCTGGGGTTGTTGCTCATTAACATTGTTCAACATCATATTTGTTCTCCAGAAGCGTGCTATAAGGTTGGTATGTGGTTTTAGTCCACGGAACTCTTGCAGACCATTCTTTATAGGCTGACGTATTTTAACCGTGCCTTGTATCTTGATTTTGGAATCTGTATGTCTTATGCAGAAGAAGTACTCCTCTAATATTCATGCTCCCTTTTTAGTCAATACCAGAAGTTCACATGTAATGCCCAGGGTTCGATGTATGATAATGCGTTGAGGCCGCTACAAATTGTTCAAAATAAAATTTTAAAAATAATTTATAAAAAAGATTATCTGTATCCCACAAATATGCTTTATTTTATACTGACGACATAGTGAATTTGAGAACTGTATTCTTCCACTCAAATAGTTAATACATTCATGAACACCGCAAGATGCAGCCCACTGTGGCACATAATCAAAACCCCCGCTTTCACATAAATCAGCTTTTGAGCATTCCGGAATGTAATAGTGAATTTTATATAAGCTCAATTGGTTTCATGGGTCCGAAGGTTTACAACGGATTGCCCACTGATGTGAGAAATGTAAAACCAAAGCTGTTTTCAAAAAGATCGAAGGCATTCGTTTAGAAAAATCGGATTTTGTTTGAAAAACTGCTTTGATTTGATGACAATAACGTGCATAATTGAATTCTCAGCATTCCAAAATATTTAAATTCCTATGTATATAACATATATGAAGTAAGATAGAAGCACATACAGATGCTCTGCATCTAGGTGCTGTTATACATAAAACAATACCATTTACCATTTAAATAATACAAAGAGTAGTACATATATCTGTATATTTTTATTGTAAATTTATACCTAAAATAAATAAATCAAATGTGGAAAACCCTGAACTGATCCATCAATTCCCACATCCTCGCTAACTCAAAAATCTATTCACTATAAGAGTAAACAAATGTTTAATCACCTACCTCATAGCATAAGAATAATGAGGGAGAGTAAATATTTCCAGAAACAAGTCAAAACATTACTTTTGGCTAAAGCTTTTTACTCTGTAGAGGAAAACTTCTCATCTCCTCTGTCTTCTTCTTCTTTTTCTTCGTCAGCCTGTGTCCATCCATTGTCGGATATAGGTCTCTTCCAAGTTTTTCCATGTCCCGCGATCTCTCGCTAATCTCATCTATCGTCCCCTGCCACCGTTCTGACATCGTCTATCTATCTCTTTTTCGGTCGTCCCACATTTCTTGTTGTTCCTCTTGGCCTCCAGAGTCCCCTTTTCTGGGTCCATCTATCTGGGTCTTGTTCGCCACATGTCCGATCCATTGCCACTTCTGGCTTGTTACCCTTTTCACAACATTCGTCACTTTGGTTCTATCACGTATCTGTTCATTTCGTATTTTATCCCTTAATGTGATTCCCAGCATTATTCTTTCCATGGCTCTCTGTGCGACTCTCAGTTGCTCAACTGCTCTTCGGGTTATTGCCATAGTTTCTATGGCAAATGGATCCTGGATTTGATTTCCGCCGTTCGGTTTTCTTTGCCCTGCTTGATTTTATGTCCTAAGTATATGTAATGTTCCACATTTTCTATGGTAACATTGTCTATGGTGATGTTACATTCATTTTTGCTCATTATTTTGGTCTTGTTTAGGTTCATTTTAGGCCTATTTTCTTGGATTGTTCGTTTAGCACATTTAGCATGTTGTTCAGTTCTTGAATATTGGTGTTCATCAAGACTATATCATCTGCAAATCTGAGGTGATTGAGATGTTTAGACCCTTTTTTCCCATTCCAACCTCTCAAAAACATTATTCAGTGCTAGTGTAAATAGCTTGGGAGAGATGGTATCCCCCTGTCGTACTCCTTTGCCAAGTGATATTTTGTCTGTTTTAAGATCGTCGTCTATTTTTACGTGAAAGATTGCCTTATCATAGATATTCTTAATAAGGGTAGAGTATCTCAAATCGATTCTTGCGTCCTCCATTGCTGCTGAAAAAGACCAGGTGTCAACGCTGTCAAAGGCTTTCTGGTAGTCCACAAAAGCTAGATGTAAAGGTATGTTATATTCCGTTGTTTTCTCGATGACTGCTTTAATTGTTTGCAGATGGTCTGTAGTGCTAAAGCCCCTTCGAAAGCCTGCTTGTTCTACTGGTTGGTAGGAGTCTAGCTTCGCAGTCAGTCGATTGTTGATAATTCTAGTGAAAAGTTCATATAGGTGTGATAACAGGCTTATTGGTCTATAGTTTTCTATATTTGAACGATCCCCTTTTTTGTATATTACCAGGAGTTCGGCATTTTTCCATGGTTCCGGGATTTTTCCCTCTATCGGACATTTGTTTTACAGCATTCCTATTATCTCTGTTAGTGTTTTGCCTCCCATCTTTAGCGTTTCCGGTGTTATTCGATCTTATCCCGGACTCTTGCCGTTTTTCATCTGTTGGAGTGTGTATTTAATTTCTGATGGTGATATTTCCGGCATGTCTTCTGAGCCTACGTTTGTAATGTGTTTGGGTGGTCCATTTGGGCTTGGTATAGTTGTTTGGTAGAGTTGTTCATAGAATATTTGTATTTCCCTTCTAATTTCCTGTTTGTCTGTGATTAGGATTTCTTGATTGTTTTTTATTTTTACAATTTTCTGTTTTCCTTTCTCTTGGTTCGATCTTAAAACTCTCATGCCTTTATTTTTCTCTATAGTTTCCAGGATTTTGTTTGTTTTGTTTTCTCTTAGGTCTTTTCCTATTTCTTTTTTCATTGTCTTATTAAGGGTATTATATTCTGGGGAGTCTCTGTCAGTTTTTCTTCTTTTTCTTATTAGTTCTATCGTCTCTGGTTTTAATTTGGTATTTGATCTCTGTCTTATCCTACTGCATGTTTTCTTTGTGGCTGTAGTTATGCCATGTGATATTTTATTGAGGATTTCATCTATGTCCTTATCCGGTGGCCTTAGCGTCTTCTCCAGTTCTTTTGATAGTATCACGGCTTTGGGTTGCCTGACAGAAATCTTGGGTTCGTTGTTCGTTTTGTTTATTCCAAAAATCAAAGTCCAATTAACACAGCAATAATTTATTCCACTTAACAATACACTCTGACATTAATTACTTTAATAACAAACTCAACAATTAAACTCGCAATAATCACTATTTAAATCGTATCACAATCAAACTTTAACTTAACTTACAAACCAATGCCAGCCTTCTTATATATCCCTAAATCTATTCCTGTAAAATCTAGAATACACACTATAATCTTATTTTCCAGATTAAAGTAGAATAATTCGCTAGCCGAACTGAGATTCTTGACAGCCTGGCGAACGCCACGCCACAATAGGTTTCCTGATTGAGTTGCAGGACATCTCTTGTAGGGAATGTATGTCTAGTGACTAGTCTTATCTTTTGTATGTTCGTGTTTATTTGTATCTTGGCACGCACTAGTCTATGGTCGCTTCCTGTGTCAAACCTGTTTAGCACTGTGACATGTTTGCAGATAGTGTTCCTGTTAGCGAGGATGAAGTCAATTTCATTTTTCACCAGTCCGCCTGGGCTTCGCCACGTTCACTTCCTTTGAGTTTGTTTTTGAAAGAAGGTGTTCATACAGTAGAGTATTTCGTTGTTTAAGAAGTTTACAAGCGTATCTCCTTGTTCGTTCCGTTCTCCCTGGCCAAAGTGCCCTATGTAGCATGTATCACCTGGTTGTTTCTTTCCTACCTTGGCATTAAAGTCCCCTGTAATGATTACATATTGAGTGTTTTCGAGGTTTCTGGCCCGTGTAATGTCTTTGTATAGTTCTTCTATCAGTTCGTTGCTTGCTGTGCTTGTAGGTGCGTAGCAGTGTATCAGTTGGATAGTGTATCTTTTGTTCAGGCTTATTATGAAATATATCACCCTGTTTGATATTGCTTGGTATTTAGTGATAAGGTGTTCGAACTGACTGTTAACGATAAAAGCTACTCCCCCCTGGCCAAAGTTGGTCTGGGAGTTGTTTTGAAACAGGTTGTGCGCAGAATTTGAAGTAGTCATTTTTCTCCTTGCAGCCATATTTCTCAGTTCTTCCTCTAGTTCCTCTAAGTGGTCGCTTGTTTTCATCGTCCTAATATTATACTAAGCAATGTAAATAGTTTACTTTGGTTTGTTGTTTTTTGTTGATCTTTTGCCTCCTCTGTCTAATGGTTAATAATTTTAAGTTTGTTTTTAATTTTAATATTGAGCAGTTCTTGGATCTTGCTTCTGGCTCTTAACCTTGCCCTTACCATTGCTTGACTAGTGTAATATGTATAGATTTTATCCAGTTGTTTTTATTCTTGTTCTATTCTCTTTATTTTACATACCTACTTTATTGTTGATTTTAATTTTAATTATATTGTATTGGAAGCTTTGCTATCAAGATTTGCATCTTTAAATAATAAAGCATATTTTGATTTGATTTGATTTGATGTGGAACACTCTCTATAAGAAATGGTACAGAAACAAATGCAAAAACCACAGAGAAATTACAGTGACAAAAACGCCAAGCAGGATGATATGGGAAAGTTATAAAAACCAAAATAGGACACAAGTACAAAGATAGCGAGGAAAAGGCCAGTTTCAGACTTGGGGGATCAACAGTAGACCACTTAATCATTTTGACCCAAGTACTTTGCTATTTAATATTTTCGGATCTATGTACATATGAAATCACATGCAAAAAGCCTCTCAAAAAACTATGGGAAGCACTAGAAAAGACCAATATGAACATAGATCTAATAAAGAGTATAAAGACAGAAAAATAGTGACGCAAAAACGAAGATAAAACAGGGTAGCCTAATGAGCAAGCTCTTTACAACAACTAAAGGACTTGGACAGGGATGCTGTATATTGCCAACACTTTTCAAAATATACATGGAACAAGAGCTTAGGGGGTGGAAAAACAAATATGCAGACCTCGATGCAGACACATGGGTATACTGCTCAATGAATACAATCTATTTTTTTTCTGAATCCAAATCTACCATATATGTTGGTTCATATATGGTTCAGCTATTTTTGCGCTATTTAAGTTCAAAATTGCATCAAGTAACCCTCACCGTTGATAAGGAACCAGAATTAATTTAGGGTAATGTAAATGCCTTTTTAAGCTTAAATAGCGTAAAAACAGCTGCACCAAATATCAACATATATGGTATATGTATTTGGAATCAGAAAAAAATATATATTCTTCAATTTAAAAATATACAGAGTAATCCATTTGAAAAAATGCAAGTGTTTGTCATTATTACAATGGGCACCTGTCATTTTCCAGTATTGACATGTGCAAAAGATAATAGAGATAAAACCCTACAACTTTTGGATTTTTTTATTTTATTTATTGTTTTGTTTAAGTTGTAGAAGCCCCACTAATTATGAGGAACAGACCCTGTACGTAATAATTTCACAAGATTATGATGACCTGTAGGTACATAACACGTAAATTAATAAACGAATACTAAATAGCTATATAGGGGCATTATGCACATGGTGGGTTTTTATAGATTTTAAGTTTAATTTTTAAGTTTCACCAGTCCTATGTATAGGTAACTGATTACCTCTATAGGTATTATAATGTAATTATTGTAATAATTTTCTGGAAATAAATAATAATAAATATAGGGTATCTAAATCTGACGAAAACAGAATAATCAAGATTTTTGAAAATACATTTTCAAAATCAAAGAAATTCTAGACAGTGTGTTGAATCAATGAGATTTTTGAAATTTCTTTGGAAAACACAAGTGTTTTTTAAATTTCGTTTTTTTTACAAACAATCTAAATTTCATTGCTTAATAATTATTAATTTCATTAATTTTTGGAATTATGTAATTTTTTTTTTCTATATAAATTTGTATGCTTATAAGTAGTAATATACAGCAGAAAAATAAATGAAACTTACCTTTACTTATGGACAGCCGCTGCATTGCTGGGAATTGGTGTGAGCCCGTTGTATCAGTGATTTGTAGAGTACATATGTTTTTGTTGCAACTAATAACCTAAAATTAAAATAAATATTTTGTATGTATCAGAAAAACTAATGTACCTAATACAGTAGAAAAAATATGTTGCATCTTCAATAAAAATACTTACTTAGGTATTTGAACCAAAAATAAACATAAGGCACATCAATTAAAAGAAAACAAAAACATAATGACTGCAAAAAAATAGGTAGGTAGGTACATCTACAAAAAAAAAGAAATAATAAATAAAAGCAACAGCCATAAGCCAATTTACATTATAGAGAAAGGTCTACTTTAATACGCTTGAATGTTGGTTTAGGTTTAGATAGTTACCTGGGTATATAGAATAGGCATTAGAAATCTCCAAACTTATTAGCACACGGTAGCTATTTTCGGGTTCGAAAAAAGGACGGTTCTAGAACGGTTCAAAACAATCACACAGTTTATCATTGAAATTTGTGATAGGTGAGCCGTTGTTATTTTGTTGATTGATGAACTGTACGATTGTTTTGACCCATTCTAGAACTGTCCTTTTATTGAACCCGAAAATAGCTCATAACTCCTTCTTAGAACTGAATATGATGCTAGTAAAACCATAACAGCCTAATTGCTTTAAAGCATAATATCAAGGCACTGCTGCAATCATATAATCGAAAGCCAACATAAAGTGTAAAAAGTTACTACATGATAGGAATCTGAAGAATTGGAACCAATTCTGCAAACTTTATTTGTACAGTAATGATGAGCTATTAGCTATTATAATATAATGCTTACTAGTTACATAATTTGTTCATAAACTGACTAAGTACAAAACATCTAGTAAAGTAGAACTATCTCTATAGCTCTGCACTCTAGATCTAAGGTTCTTACTTGTCGATATGTGTCCTCAATGGTGGGTATGTAGCTTTCCCTAAAAGTGCCTTTAACAAACCTGAGAACCAAAGAACTCTTTCCCACACCTCCAGCACCGAAGACAACGACACGATAGTCATTACTTTGCTCAGGCATTCCAAATTTCTTTAAAAATAAGACTGCAGGTCAAGAGGTTATATTGTGGCCTTTGGGGCCTTTGGACAGTTCCAAACTTGTAATTTTTCGTTTCGTCTAGTCTCGTAGTTCATTATTGAAGTAAGGAAACACTTTTCGTCTAATTATTGAGGAAAATCATTATTTTTGTGTATTTTGTGTTGTTGCAAAAAATTCTAGTTCAAGCTTTCTCCAGTACAAAAATTAAAAAGTGTATTGATTGGTTGCTTTTTGACAGTTGTGGGTGTAGGTGGGAGGTACAGTGACTCTATAACCCACAGTGGTGACAATTGCTGTCTCATTTTTGATTGGTTCTAAAATCCCATATATTTATATTGAAAACACCGCCATCTTGTTCCCAACCCCTTGTTACTTTTAAATATGAATATATGGGATTTAGGTGAACATCCATCATAAATCATGGAAAACAACGTATTTGATGGACCTAATAATGGTCATCAAATACGTCGATTTCAATTTTTTATGATAGATGTCCATTTAAATCCTATATATTATTATTTAAAAGTAACAAGAGGTTGGGAACAAGATGGCGGCGGGACCTCTATTGTCGCCGTATGTAAAGGTTTATTTAGCCACTGTAGTGGGAGGCTGTGCTGGAGCGCGTTCATAAATACTTGCCACAGCTGAGAAATCCTTGTAAAATCAGTCAAGATAACTTGCCTTTCGACCATAACTTTTAACTTTTCTGTCCATAAATGTCTAATATTTTTTTCTGGAGAAGGAATTGGTGAATAATCATAAAATATTCGTATACCAATTGTCGAGTCGGCAGCTGGTCTGCGAGTGACGTCATCCACAGACCTCGAAGGATGTTTTGCGATTCAGGCTGGGCTTGAGGAGAGTTAATTTTTTCGTCTATTTTAAATGTAGGAAAGAGAAAAATAAAATGAAAAAGAAGTCCAAATCCGTTTTCTCGCGTCCACTTTTTTTAACTATAATGTCAAAAATGTAAATTATTTTGCCCGAAGATGGGGTATAAATTATTGTAGACCGGCCTCGAAACTAGTCGCATAATAATAATGGTGGGTATTATAAAACTATTTTGACAGAATAACTATAAGTTAACTTCTGGAATGACGTTACTTCTCATGTAATTCTAGAAGTTAACTTTCAGCTAACTGCCAAATTAGTTTTATAATACCCGCCCTAAAACAATAAAAGACTGTGAGAATATGACTTCTTTTTCATTCTAGTAGGAATTATTTTATTTGACATGTAGTGTTTTAAACTCGGATAATGCATTTTACGCCAAGAGTTGAGGTCTGCGGCTGACAAGACAGACATTTTCAGCTCCTAAGCAGTCCTATTAGGTTAATGCCTGTATGCACCATTTTCAGGTATTTTCGTAATTAGCTAATCAGGGCTAATTATGTAATCACGGTTAAAAAAGTCGATTCGATGTACCATTAAAGGATTTTGCATTTGCCTGGTATGCACCATTACACAAATTCTCTGATTAAACTTTAGCCGTGATCACATAATATTTTTCGTATGCACCAAGCGTTTTTTTCGCCTAATCGGCAATTAACTTAAATCGCTCGATGGCCTGGAATTTAGGATAACCGCGGCTATAATGAAATGAGGTTAGAATGTTTTGTTTTGTTTTTACATTTTAAAAACATTTTTGTCCCCAAAAAATTACTGGAAAAATAGTGTGTGGCGAGGGTGAGCAGGGAGAAATCAAATAAGGAATATGGAGATGGACCACCTATTATTTGACGAGGATTTGGATACTGATAAATAATGATTGTGTTAGATGGGCTTCCAACGCGTTGGAATGAGACGGAAAATTATTTTGAAGCCTTGGATGGATGATCTTATAAACCAATAGTCTTGTGCAATAGTCGTAGATCTTCCTGAAGAGGTGGAAGATGCCCTAACTTAACATGATAGGGTGGTAGTATTATATGCAATTTTATGGCTTGATTCCAGTAACTAATGACTATGTAATTACGGTAATTACTGTTTATTTCAAATAAAATGCCCAGGGTGCTTTGTTTGTTTGTGTATACTGTATACCTAAAATTTATTCATCGAAAAAAACGCAGATATGGGGTCTCGCCAACCCAAAATTGGCTATTATCAGGGCCAAATACTGGAACTGATCTTCACAGTGGGAACTGATCCACTGCAAAATAAACAGGTCTGGTCCAAGTTCGAGTTCAAGTCCGGACCACTTTTGCGTTGTCTACGTTGTACGGACTCGGAGTCAAACTCGAACTAATCGGATCACGCCGCGTCGGCCAGTGGAACAGGAAAAAGTGTGGACTCGGAGTAGGGACACAGATTCAGAGACGGAGTACATTACACCGACAGACTCGTTTCGATCAACGGCTCCGGATTGTCGGGATCACGCCGCACCGGTGCGGCCGCTGGAACGGATACAGTACGAGAGTGCACCGCCGATAGGATATAAAGCTGCTTTCCAGTATGTAGCTGTATTCCTTTCAAGAGTTTGAAACACTAGAGCTACTCGCTCCGGTGTGTCAACCCGATTTGAAAGGAACAGATTCGCCGACTTTCGTGCATTTATGGTTTACGTTGGGCTCGAGTACTCAGGTGCAACAAACACTTTTCGGAAGGAATAAGCGCGTAACGCCCCGGAGCTCCGCATACTATTCACCATTTTCACGTATTTTCGTTATTAGCTAATCACGGATAATTATGTAATCACGGTAAAAATGTCGGTTCGATGCACCAAAGGATTTTGCACTCAAATTAGTTAATTGTGATTTTGTAATGAGGGCCACCTGAAAGGAACTCACCGATAACGTCGCAAATTTCCTATAGATTTTAATAAAAGGCAATAAAAGCCCATTTTGGGTTGGCGGTACGTGGGGTTGGCGAGACCCATTCTGCGTTTTTGTCGATGAATTTTAATTTTATAAACAAACAAACAAAACATCCAGGGCATGTAGGGCATTTTATTTGAAATAAACAGTAATTACATAGTCATTACCTAGTTATTGGAATCAAGAATCAAGTCATAAATTTGCATAGAATGTAGGTACTACACCCTATAATAATGATAGGGCATCTTCTACCTCTTCAAGAAGATCTATGATCTACGACATTGGCTTATAGATCAGATCATCCAAGGCTTCAAAATAATTTTCCCTCTCATTCCAACGCCTTGGAAACGGAAACCCATCTAACACAATTTCATTATCCAAATTAATCATTGTCAAATAATGTCTCTCCACCTCCATATTCCTGATTTCAGTTCTTTTTTTTCCTGGCTCACTTCACACAGATTTGTTCAAGTTTTTTTTTTACAAAAATGTTTATAAAATGTAAATATGAAATTTGAAATCGGAACCAAAACAAACAAAACACCTAACCTCATTTTATTAACTAGCCGCGGTTATCTTGTTCTAAATTCCAGGCCATCGAGCAATTTAAAGTTAATTGCCAATAGGCGAAAAAAACGCTTGGTGCATATGAAAAATATTTTGTGATCACGGCTAAAGTCTTAATCAGAGAATTTGTGCAATGGTGCATACGGGCATAAGTGTTCTTACATCAAATACGTTGTTTGCAATTTTTGATTTAGTATAAGGTCAGGTTAACATTATTTATGAACTATTTATTCTAATGGCATTTTGAACAGGATGGTCTTATAAGCTTTTATGGCATACACTTTCTAATTTCCTCCCTACACGTAGATTTTCTTTTCATATATATATATATATATATATATATATATATATATATATATATATATATATATATATATATATATATATATATATATATATATATATATATATACATATATAATATAAATAATAATATATATATATATATATATATATATATATATATATATATATATATATATATATATATATATATATATATATATATATATATATATATATATATATATATATATATATATATATATATATATATATATATATAATTATCGGTTTATAACGTTCTACGTACGTCTTCCGATTCCCGATCTCCAACCATCTCTGTCAATCCAGGCATCCTCTTCTAAGCCTCTGTCTCCCATTTCTTCGTCTACTCCACTTCTCCAGCTTCTTCTCGGTCTGCCGCGTCTTCTTCTTCCCCTGGCTTCCACTCAATAATTTGCTTGGGTATCCTTGTATCTGCCATTCTTTGTACATGTCCGAACCAAATTAGTAGTCCGGGGGCTGAGGACCTTTTTTCCAAATCATTAATAACAAGCTAGTTTTTTCAATGCAGCTTCATTTCACCGAGACGCCCAACTTTTTTCTCTTCGAAAATTGCGAAAACAGGTAGCTTACATACTGCGCGGGTGTAAAACATGTCGATTTGGTGACTATGAAAATTTAATTAATAACAGTTAGTTTTTCAGCTAAATGTTGAGATAATTTTATGAATAATTTGAAACAACATTTGTCCGACAAAATAAAGGGTTTGGTCTACGATGTCCCCCCCCCTCAAACATGTAGGAATTACGTTGCATAAGAAATGATTAATAACAAGTTGATTTTTTCAATGTAGGTTGGTAAATATTATTACAATTAAATGGTCACACTGTCCTACAAATAAACAGGTAGCTATTTTCAGTCCTACACTCAAAAGTTGTCGATTTCACGATTTAACTTTTTTCATTAATAACCGGCTAAATCTTCGTGAGTATCTTCATTTTGATAAGACGCCCAAATTTTCTGTTGCGAAAATTCCAAAAACAGGTAGCTAACAGAGTGCGCAGGTGGAAAACATGTCTATTTGGTGATCATACAAATGTAAATAATTACAGTTAATTTTGTAGCTGAATGTTGAGATAGTTTCATAAATAATATGAAACAACATTTGTCCGACAAAATAAATGGTTTGATCTAGGCTGTCTCCCTTCTCAAACATGTAGCAGATACGTTACATAAAAAATGATTTTTAACCAGTTGATTTTTTTAATGTAGCTTAGTAAATATTACTACAATTAAATGGTTACACTGTCCTACAAATAAAGAGGTACATTTCTCCAGTCCTACACTCAAAAGTTGTCGACTTCACGATAATACTTTATTCATCAATCACCGGACACCGGCTTAATCTTCTCGAGCATCTTCGTATTGATAATGATAATACGCCTAACTTTCCTATTGCGAAAAGTTGCAAAAGTAGTAGCTACTAGAGTAAGCACTAGTGAGCACATGTAAAATACCTTGATTAGGTGATTATGCAAATGTAATTATTAACAGTTAACAGTTAATTTTTCAGGTGAATAATGAAATAATTTTATAAATAATTCGAAATTCGATTTGAGCCACAAAATAAATGGTTTGGTCTGCAGTGTCCCCTTTCTCAAAAATGTAGCAATTACTGGCTCATAAAAAACGATTTATAACCAGTTGATTTTTTTACTGTAGTTTGGTAAATATAACTACAATTGAATCGTTACATTGTCCTAAAGAGGTAAGATTTCTCAGCCCTACATTCGAGAATTTCGAAAATAGCCTTATGCATATTATACGTAAATATGTACAGGGCTTTCCGCTGTATCCGAGTGCCCGAAATTTTAATAAACGAACGCAAATGAGCCTGCTCCGAGTACACTTTTTCAATAAACGAACGGTAGATTCAAGCTCGAACAACTCGGATCAAAATACCAAACGTACGGTATATTGGCACGCTAGTGCTACCACTGTGCTACATCAATCCGAACACTGCACCAGAACAACAACCGTTCTTGCTCCACTTGTTCCGATCGGTTCGAGTACCAGTAATCGAATACACTACCGGCTAAAAATTGTTCGCTCTTGGTCCGAATCAGCTCGTCCGTGTAAGCTGTGCTTCAAATGCAGAATGCAGAAGAAATGAACGGTATATTATGGGTCGACTAATAACTGCTCTCACCCAAATAGAAGAAAGCGCTTAGGTATGGCTTCCGAACATCTCCCCTTCCCATGTTGCCTTTCATAAGTCATAAGTCTACGTTATTTATTCTTTCCTGAGACCTTTCCTTTCCCTCTTCGACGTTCAACGGCTAGAGACGAATGCTGGAACCGAACTCGTCTCCTAGCAACGACCAACATCTAAACGACCAACGGTTTTTATTTGATTCTATTCATTTCCAATTTAGTAATTCATTCTAAATCCTAATTATTCCTAATATAAACTTAAAAAATGGGAAAGAAAAATCGACTTAGACTTGAGAGACAGAAAAAACTGCAGAAGCAAGTGGACGACCACATGAAGACCCTAAACATCGCTCCAGTACCAGGCCTGGCAGAAAACACCAGGGAACTGGTAACAAAAATGATGAGTCATCCGGGTTACAACAATCCAAAGTAAGAACTTATCAGAATAATCTTGCTAAATACTCCTATTTCCTAGGTTTCATATTAGTTTAGTTTGAGGCTTAGTTCAAGCTAGGTGGGTGGACACAGGGGACGTCCTCTCTCTGGACCAGTTTACTTTTAGTAATAGGTCTGGGTCTGCAGAAATCACAAACCAGTCTTGAGTGAATTTCATTGGTTGAAACTAGTTTTCTGACTTTTTTCAACCAATGAAATTCACTCTGACTGGTTTGTGATTTCTGCAGAAACAGACCTAATATAACATTTGTTTCTAAGTGATGCTTTCGATTATCATTCTCAATTCAAACAGTCGAAAAAGTTACTTGAAGCGCCTCCTCAAGACTAGGGTTTCCATACATCCGGATTTCGGAACACTGTTCAGAAAACTCGGCGATTGTGAAAACAGCCTAACTTTGTTAAATGTTTTAATTACGTTTTTTTTTTTATTATTAATTTCTGTAAAAATGTATTTCTGCGAAAGATAAACAATATTCATACTTATAAAAAATTTAAACTATTTTTTCTACTTCCGTGCGTAAAGTAATTCACTTCACGCACTGATGCTTATAGTAATGTCATTTACAGATGTTGATACTGGTCAATTAAGAATGTTTCTAGTAAATTACTTCACGCACTAGTGCATAAAGTGAAAATACTTTAGGAACTAGTGTGGGAAGTATTTGTCTGAATTTATTTTGTTAGACATATGTTATTTTTAGCAGAAAAAAATTTGTATACAGTATGTGTGTAAAGTAGGTACTTTTTTCACTAATGTGATTGTCCGAGTGATTGTCTTTACATACTTGTTGCATAAATAGCTATTTTCTACTACCGTGCGTAATGTACTCACTATACACACTATTCAAAAGACTATCCAGCTTTTGTGAAGCTTTTCTTGTATAATTTTTGTACATTGTGGAATAAATTACATTACATTACATAAAACTTCACGCACTAGTATGTGAAGTAATTCACTTTACACACTGGCGCGTGAAGTAATGTCAATGACGGATGTCGACACTAAATTTAGTTTTTTTCTAGCGCGTACAGTGGAAATACTTTACGCACTAGTGCGTGAAGTATTTGTCCAATTTTTTTTACACATATTTTATTGGAAGTAGAAAAGATGTTGTATACAATACGTGTGTAAAACACCTTTTTTCACTTATGCGATTGTCAGCACTCGCCTTCAGCTCGTGCGTTAAAATTCACATTCGTCAAAAAAGGTTCACTTTACACACTTGTTGCATAAATAGCTATTTCGGCGAAGTCAGGATTTTGTCGGGATTTCTTGGCTCCTTTGTCCTGAATTCCAAAAAAATTTTATGGAAACCCTACTCAGACTGACGATACGGTCGAAGGATGATACCTACCTATTCAATATTAAAAAAAGTTTGGTTTGAGAAGTGACAATTCGAATTGCCCAGGCATTAAGCATGGTGGTCAAAATCGATCTAGGGGGCCTTTTACAAAATTTTTTCATTGGTTTCCACTTGGGCTTCCAGGGCTGCGTTCAAAAACGGCTAAAGCCGAGCCAAAATTGGTATATTGCGTTCAAGTTCGGCTCCAGCGTGCCAAAAACGGTTGGCTTTACACTTTCCAAATCGGCCGCGGTAAAGTAACTTTTGGAGGCTCTTTCAACTGAGTCTAGAAATGGTTATACGAATTTTGATTGGATGAGACCAAATTCAATATGGCGTGGCGGCCAGGCAAGTTAGTTTTGAATATGGGTTTTCATGCATATTTCAATTATTTTGTTTGTTTGCAGCTTCGATTTTAATTATTCAATAAAACATTTGTTAACTAAGTACGTTAACTATTAAGGGCGGGTATTATAAAACTACTTTGAGAGTTAACTTAAAGTTAACTTCTTGAATTACATGTAATTCAAAAAGTTAACTTTAAGTTAACTCTCAAAGTAGTTTTATAATACCCGCCCTTAGGGTGGGTATTATAAAACTGCTCTGACAGAATTACATGTAATTCAAAAAGTTAACTTCAAGTTAGCTGTCAAAACCGTTTTATAATACCCACCCTAAGTCGGGCAGAAACTAGATATTTTTTGTGTTTTTTTGGTCCATGAATGGTCGCCACGCCATATTGAATGTCACGTGGTTTGGATTGCATATTGAGAAACGGTATTTGGTGTTCCAGCAAATTCACACCAGATTTGGCATTGCCGGTAGAAGGGGAATAGTAGGTTTTGGCATTAGCATTGCCGTCTTTGAACGCACTCCAGGATAATTAAACCACTTGCCAGAATTTTTTCCTTTTTTACTCAGCACTTGGGTCTTGAGCGGTCTATACCTAATATAAACTTTATTATTGTCGTCAACACTTGATTCAGACTTGATCCATGATGTTCCTAGGCCCATAAAGATTTTTTGTATGGGGTAAATTTTTGTTTTTTTTTTCTGCTTTGCACATCACAAAAGTGTATGTAATATAATTTTCGGCACATGTAATGTGTCACATCTTATCTGCGACCCCAAATTGTGGATGTTTGGGAGTCTGGAATAGAAAATGCAAATACTAATTATTTTATAGAAATGAAACATATGATAGCAAAAACAAGACGTTTCTTCAAAAAAAATAAAAAAATAAAATTCATTGCTTATTGCTCATCCGTAAATCGGGATTCCAACATTAAGGAAGTCTGGTCCAAAGTGAGAAGATTTGCTGGTAAACATGGAAATGAAACCCAAACAATAGCTTCAGATGAGGTGAGAGGTAGAATCCTGGAAGGGTTATCACTTTGCAGAGCCCAACCAGAATTTTGTTTCCACCATGCGACAGAACACATACCATTCAGCATGGGAGAACTCCATGCTGCTCTAAAAGAAAAAAAAGGTCTCGGCCCCAGGACTAGACGAAATTTCCTACTCCATGATAATCAACTTACCAATAAAAGCCAAACAACAACTTTTGAACATATTCAATGGGATGCTCCGTGGGGATCCAATTCCTGAACAATGGAAACAATACTTGGTTCATGTACTACTTCTAATTTGGACTTATTTGCTACAAAATTGTTAACTTTTAAAAAAAACCTAAAACTTAAGTTTCTAGAATGAACTCTAGTGTGATATTTTATTTGTGATTTATTGAATAATTAAATCTTACCTAAGTTTTTAGATTAGAACAACGAAGACCTCTACATATACCAATGTGATATATAACTTGTGATTACTTGTATAAAATTTTTATATATTATATATATATATTTTTTTTTTAAGCAAAGTATAGATATTACTTTGGTAATATCGGGATACTATTTTTGGAATTATGTTCTGTTTGTATCCCAAGGACTGTAATAAATAAATAAATAAATAAATGCCATATGTAAACCCAATAAAAACCCAGAAAATCCAGATAGCTACAGACCCATAATACTAGCATCATGCGTCTTGAAATCACTGGAAATCCTCATAAAAAATCGACTGGAATGGACAACAGAAAACAAAAAAACATTTGCATGGCTACAAACAGCATACAGGAAAAAAAAGGGAGTCAACGATTGCCTTTCATATATCGGATCATACACTACACTGGCTTTCAATGAAGGATGCTCAGTCCTTGCGGTCTTTGCAGACATCAAATCAGCATATGACAATGTTAATTTACAGAAACTATATGAAAAACTAATCTCGCACAAAATTCCAACAGGAGTCAGCACCCTAATATACAGAATCTTGGAAAAGAGAAAAATTTTCATCAAAAATACTCAGGGACAAATTAGTGGTCCAAAAATGGTAAACCCCGGTCTACCACAGGGATCTCCACTTAGCACAATCCTTTTCAATATATATATCCAGGAAATATTTAAAATACTGCCGGAGGAAACTCAGGTTGTGGGATATGCGGACGATTTTGTTTTTTTTTTAAAGGGGAAATCTCCCAATCAAATGGTAGATAAAATAAACCAATCCCTGGCTATAATTAGCAAATGGTTTAGAGCAAATGGCTTTAGATTGTCATATGATAAATGTGAGGCAGTCCACTTTGTCAAAGGAAACCGAAGAAGTGAAATCCAACCCATAAAAATGAATGGTATCACCATACCCTACCGAACATCTGTCAAATATCTGGGCATTCATCTGGACAGTCATCTCAATTTCAACAAACACATAGAATATGCAACTCAGAAAGCAAAGAAAGGACTCAACGTAATCAAATCCTTCTGCAGAGTTTGGTGGGGATCAGACCCACTGACTCTCAGAACAGTGTTACTGTAACTAGTAATATCCCACCTAGACTATGGAGCTTTTCTGCTTAAGCCACTTTCAAAGAAAAATAAACAGAAGATAGACAACGTTTTTCACGCAGGACTCAGGACCATTTTGGGATGCATGAGATCAACCCCTATCAATGCACTTAAAGCGGAATCAGGAATGATGGATTTAGAATATAGAAGAAGATGGCTAGCCGTCAAATACCTGTCTAGAGTATAGTGTCTCAAAGATCACCCACTCATACCCATACTAAAAAAAATAAATCACAAAATGCACAACGCAAATTACTGGAGAGGTAAGGACATTCCCTACCTAGTACAAGCGCACGATTACTTCCTACCATACGAAAGAAGAATGAACCGTGGAACAGTCCTGGCATGTTTTGAAGTCGAGATGGAGATCCAATTGAGGGGTGTCCCAGTTATAGATCTAAATTTAAAAAAACATGACACTGACACAACCAACAAGTTTATGGAAGAAACAAGTTCCCTGGATCGGCAATATACACAAATATACACAGATGGCTCCAAAGGTGATGGAAAAACTGGATATGGGATACACTGCCCAAACAAGAAATACAATTTTTCTGCAAGATTGTCAGATGAAATTGACATTTGCACAGCGGAAATTGTTGCTATAAACGAAGGAGCACGCTATGCACTGGAAAAAAACATACAAAATGCGTTGATACTAACAGACTCAAAAAGTGCAATACAAAAGCTTGAAAGAACCCATATAAATCCTGATAGTGATGAGATAGAGCTCAAAACCAAACGATTGATCTTGGAAGCAAACTCATCTATTAACATTGAACTGGCATGGATACCTGGTCACTCTGGTCTGAAGGGCAATGAATGTGCTGACAAACTTGCCAACATAGGAAGAATCCTAAATGTTCCAAGGAATCTCCCTCTGGAACCATTTCACATTCTTCCCCTCATCAAAAGAAAAATACAAAACGAACACTCAGAACACTGGAAAAAATCACTAAATGAAAAAGGAAACTGGTACAAACAGGTTCAGCCAGAATTTCCAAAAAAGATATGGTTCAAAGATCTTGAATATAAACACAGGCGACACATCACATCCATCACTAGAATGCGTACGGGTCATTGTCTGACAAAACAACATCTTTGCAGAATAGGTGTAAAAGAGGATTCCTACTGTGAGTGTGGCCAAACGGAAACCCTGGACCACATATTCTTGGAATGCCCTATAAATCGTATACCAAACTTTGATATCTATCAAACCTTCATTGACAGAAAAATCCCAGCGCCTTTTAGCATGGCAACAATACTTTCCAGGATTACTCCTGAAACGGTTTTGATTCTTAATAGATTCCTAAACTACAACAAAATTGAAATTTGAACATTGTAATTCAATTTTTGTTTCTTAATCTGTTTAGCGAAGGAAAAAAAAAAAAAGAAAAAAAAAAAAAAAAAAAACACCCACACTCATTCCAACCCCCACCACAGCCCATCCGCTTGTGATGTCTTTGTGATTTCCATTTGATTTGTTGTGTATGTTTGGCTGTAGCTTACTTGTTGTGACGTCTCACTTACATTGAACCTCAATCAAACATATAGCTCGATATTCAACACAGCACGGGCACAAATTTTCAATTCTCAGCACACAAACAAAACCAAACTACTAGTGCTCGGGATATGGTTTAGAGCCAGACACAACCCCGGGCATACCCTAATGCGCTGGCAAATTGCCCAATGTAGCAGAAACCAAAATAAAGAAGAAGAAGAATTTTGCATCAAAACCGATTTCACATTCCTGTCTTGGATTTTCATAAACTATCATTGGACATCAACTTTGAATTTAATCCATGATTGAAAATTCCTCGGAAAATTCCAATTAAATTCAATCTCTGGTTAAATCCAAAGTTGGTGTCAAATGATAGTTAATGAAAATATAAGATGAGAATGTGAGATCGGTTTTAATCTAAAATTAATTGTTTAGGTTTTACAGCCTGTCAAAGTTGCAAAAAAGTCAACTTTCAACTGTCAATATTTCCAAAACAGTTGAACTTAGTATTAGGCAATCCAATCCATCTGTCAAAACTCAAAACACAAAATTCAATATGGCGTGGCGGCCAGCAAGTTTGTTTTGAATATGTGTTAAAGCATTTTTAATTATTTTGCATCGAATTTTGCTCGCAGCTTTGATTTTGACAATAAAATATTTGTTTACTAGATACGTAAACTATTCAGTCGGGCAAAAACTAGGTATTTTGTTGTGTTTTTTGGCCCATGTGTGGCCGCCACGCTATCTTGAATGTCACGTGGTTTGGATTGCCTAATAGGGTATATCACATGAAATCTGCTCAGAATTTTACGTAGAATCCAAATATACAATAATACACAGGGTATTCCATTCGAAATAAGAAAGTTGCACCACGACCAGCTTTTCTGAGACACCCTGTATATGTGAAGGTGAGGTTTTAAAAAAGTTATAGGGGGGTGACATTTATAACCAATAACCCTGTACAGCACCTCATTATCACGCCTGTAAGCTTTGTCAAGGTGCAATAAAAATCTTTTTTTTTTATAAATATTTTCATCTCTTTTTCTTTTTTTTTTGTCTTGACTTTTTTTTAAATTCTAAATTCATGAATTTTCTTAATTTTCCCTTATTTAGAGACGAAAAACAAAGAAAATTTAGGAATCTGGAATAAACAAGAGAAACGGAAGCGGAAATGGAAAAGCAGTACAAATTTTCATATAAAAAAAATAAGATTTTCCGGCTTTTTTCCCACTGAAAAATTGTTGGAGCTGCATTGAATCTAATGAAAAGAGATTTATTTATGTTAAAATCAGATTGAAATAAGAAATGTTGTCAGGCTAAATGTGCGTCAATGTCATTTTGGATACAATGATATTTCAAAAAAAAAAAAAAAAAAAAAAACGATACAGGGACGTTTAATTTTCGTTTGAAGAAAATATTTGAAATATTCGATTTGAATTTTGCAACTGGATAGAGAATCGATATTTTTGAAGAAAAATAAAAATTTCCTTCCACTCGATCACCTTGAGGTAATAATCAAAGTCGAAAGACTTTGAAGCTTTGCAGCTGAGAAACCATTGAAACTATTGCCTAGAGAATCGTCAAGGATTTAATTGGCCCTGATCCAAGTCTAATTATGTTGAGATCAGATTAAAAACTTTAAATTAAAAAAATTATTGTTGCAAAATGTGTGTCAAAGTCATTTTGAAAATATGTGCTTGCGGAATTGGATTGAAATTCTACAACAGGATAGAACAAAGATTAAAATTCAAAAAAAAAAATAAATTAAATTTCCTTCTGCTCGCTATACCTTGATAAATAAAAACTCAAAAGACTTTAAAGCTGCACAGCCGCAAAACCATTGGAGCTGTACCATCATTCTGATTAAATAAATAAATAAATAAATAAATAAATAAATGTTTATTGACGGACTTGCCATTTTCAAATGAGTACATAGTTCAAATTAATTAAAAAAAAATACTTAAGATTGAGATAAAATATAAATTGATAAAACACAATCACAGCGTTGACAGTAAAATTAAAATAAAAAAAACAGAAAGATAAAAACATCACTTTCATTATGGTAGCATGCATAAAAAAAAACACATCAATCAACAACCATAGAAAGCACAGTTTAAAAAAAAAAATCCTTACCTAAGCAATATACTAAAATTATCAACAATACAAAAAAGAAATGAATGAAAATGAGATTCAAATCTAGTTGAGGGTCTACTCTAGTTCAAGCAGACTTTTTCTAAGCGTATTGCAACTTATGTTGAAAAAATCAATATCAAGCTCATTTATTACCCTATTGGCCACATTACACATTCTACACATAGGACTATTCAAACCATAGTTAGTCCTGTGAAAATCTATACCAAAAATCTCGTTTTGTCTAGTTACTCGCTGAGGAATTTGAAATGGAACTTTTTCTCCAATAGCTCAGGACAATTGATTATGTTATTACAGATTAAGCTACAATGTAGCGAAACATGTTAATTTCATTAAATTAATTAGTGGAAATAAGATAAGTGAATAAATTCACTTAAAAATCTTTTCTAAAAAAAATTAAATTATTGAAGACATTCTGCAGTGTATTTAATTTACACATTTTAATTACAGCTATAAATGGAGCCTAGACGATTTTGAATTAGGAAAGCGCCTGGGAAGAGGTGCATTTGGCAGAGTGTTTTTGGCGCGTGAGAGACGCAGTGGATATTTGGTCGCTGTGAAAACTCTATTAAAAAAGGATGTTGTCGAGGAAGGCTCGGAAAGAGATATATTGCATGAAATAGAAATCCACAGTCACCTGAAACATCCTAACATAATCCAAATGCTATGCTGGTTCCACGATTCCCACAGAATCTACATAGTTTCAGATTATGCTGGTCAAGGAGCTGTGAGCCAACATTTAAAAGACGCGGGTAGATTTGATGATCAAAGATCCGCTAAATATATTTATCAAGTTGCGGCTGCTCTGGAATACTGTCACGACAACCATGTCATTCATAGGGATATCAAGCCAGAAAACTTGCTCCTAGATGTCGTTGGCGATGTTAAAGTGGCGGATTTTGGTGCCTCCAAGCACTCGCCTTCATTGACAGCAAACTCTTTTCGCGGCACTGTGGATTATATTCCACCTGAAATGGTTGAAGTCAAAGAATATACATATCTGGTCGATAATTGGTGTTTGGGTTAGTATTTCTCAATGAGGTTGTCCCCCAATTTAATATTAATTTTTATTTAGGAATCTTATGCTATGAATTTTTGCATGGTTACCCTCCGTTTGAAGCCGATACATCAGCTGAGACTTTCAGTCGAATCAGAATGCGAGATTTGCATTTTGATGAACACATTAATAAGAAGGCTAAGGATTTTATTTCTAAGGTGAGTATTTTATTCCAAATCAAATCAAAATATTTTTCAAAAACACATTTTTTTTTCCAAAGGATTTATTACATAGGCAGTATATCAAATCAATTAAATAAATAAAATAATTATGTCTACAGCAAATATACTATATAACTAATTTGTTCTCTTTTTCTAGGATTGTAGTTGTGGTAGTCTTTATTTAGTGTGGGGTCCACATTTGTTTTAATTAGGCGACTATGTATTTTGCACAGGGTATTTGATTATATTTAAGCCCATACCTACAGCCTTTACTATTTGGATAGAAAAAATAATTTGAATACAAAACTTGACAGTTTGTTTCTATATTTTCTTTTAACATTATCAGAAAAAACCAAATCGCATTGGAAATTGGAGGAACATAGACAGATCTTCTGTTCCTGATTCCAAATATACATACAGGGTGACAATTTGAAAAGTAGCAATCAGGAATATCTCTTAGACAAAAAATACTATCAGGAAGATCTCAAATACGTATCTGGGGATTGGAGGGGTAACCAAAATGAGGCACTTTTTGACTCACCCCTTAGGGGGTAGTTACCCCAATTTTTTTTTTTGTCAAATACGAACCTACCTTGTGTTGCACATCGTTTGATAGCTCGTTGCTATCCCTTTACAGTCATTTAGCAAAATCTTAAATTGGACGATTAGTTTTTGAGATATGAGTGTTTCAAAGTGAGCATATTTTGGAAATTAGCAATTTTGACTAACTCATAGACAAAGAAAATCTATCAATAAAGTTTCGAACACATCGGCGAAACCAAATAATGTGTTTATCGTAATTCTATCTGCTTCCGCACGTCTCTAAAGACGAATAAATAACCTTTTAAAGGAGCTATCACACGCAGTAGGTTCTCATTTTAGAAAAATTATTAGGAGCGGATAGCACCCAAGATAAGGGAGTGGGGGTAAGGCAATAAACACATTTGGTTGCCCCGATGTGTATTTGACACTTTTATGACAGAATTCTTTTGTCTAAGAGATAGTCAAAATTACTAATTTTCAAAAAATACTCATTTTTAAACACCGATATATTAAAAACTAAGCGTCCGATTTAAGATTTTGCTATATGACTGCAAAGGGATAGCAACGAGCTATCAAACGATGCGCCACACAAGGTAGGTTCGTATTTTTAAAAAATTAGTTAGGGTAGCTACCCCCTAAGGGGTGAGGCGGGGTGACTCAAACAGTTCTTCATTTTGGTTCCCCCTCCAATTCCCCGATACATATTTATATTCCCGATTACTTTTCAAATTGTCACCCTGTATATGTACAGTGTCATTACTTAAGTGTGCAACATATGGGATTTTTTTTTAGTAATAGCACAATTAAAATACAAACAAGGCCAAAAGTTGGTGCATGCCTGATAATCATATTAGGTGCACTTAGAATGGTTGCAAGTCAAACAGCATACAAGGTGGCTCACAAAATATCAAAATTCTACTAATATTTACTTAAATAAAATAAAACTTTTGCACTTTAAGGAGAGTTTTTTTAATATTGCTATTATCATTAGTAATGTTTTAACTTGTTAAAAAAAAATTGCGACATTTAAAAGTTGTGTTGAATATCATTGCAACCAACAACCATGAATTTTTTGATTCCATAAAAAATTAAAAATCTAAGTTAATTTTACAAATATGCTTGAATGTGAACAAAGTTATGTAAAATTGATTTGATTTTAATTAATTCTTGAAAGTATTAAGGGCGGATATAAAAAATAAAAAAAATATAGAAATTATACATTTTTTTCGAAAGAAAATAAAAAAAATCTTAGGAGGCTATGTTTAGGTATTTAGGCATAAATTTTAATTCCAAACAACTTTTCTCTAAAACATTTTGCTGAATTTTCTAAAATAAGGGTACTTTAGAGTACAGCTTTGATATTGTTTGAGCTACCCTGTATGCTGTTTGACTTGCAACCATTCTAAGTGCACCTAATATGATTATCAGACATGCACCAACTTTTGGCCTTGTTTGTATTTGGGTTGTGCTATTACTAAAAAAAATCCCCATATGTTGCACACTTAAAAAATCACACTGTATATAATGATCACATTTGCGTGAGCCATTTTTGACATATCTTAGGTTAAATTATAAATAATTCGTAAAGAAATTCCATAGGGATCTCTATCCTCATAAAATTTCTTCGCAATTTATTTATAATTTAAGCTAAGATATGTCAAAAATTGGTCACGCAAATGTGATCATTATATATACAATGCCCGCGGAAAAGTTTGCACCATATGGGAAATTTTTTTATGCTCATCCTTACTTCAAATCAGTTTTCGGTATTAGGTTCTGCATGACTGAAAACCAAAAAAACACCTAAAATTTTTGACTCGAGACTTACCTCACACCTGTCAAATGCCATTTGAAAATTTCAAACAAGGAAAAGTGGCATTTTCATAAAAAATATGAAAAAATTTTATAAGAAAATATTGTTCCAAATGACATTTTAAGTCTAATTTGATATTTTTACTTTGAAAAAAATATATATTTTTTTTTAAATTTTTTTCGAATATTTACGGAAAAATAATATTTTTAGGATTTCTTTCGCGACCATTCCTCTAAAATAATTAGTTTGTATCTGACTAATGGTTTTGTAAATCTTAATAATCTAATTAAAAGTTTAAACATGAAAAAGAAATATTTCTATTAAAATTTTGATACGCCTCTGGACTATTTTGAAAATTTTAGATTTCTCAAATTATTTGTTTATAAACTACTCCTAAATGTCATTTGGAACAATATTTTCCTATAAAATTTTTTCATATTTTTTATAAAAATGCCACTTTTCCTTGTTTGAAATTATCAAATGGCATTTGAGGCAAGACTCGAGCCAAAATTTTAGGTATTTTTTTGGCTTTCAGTCATGCAGAACCTAATGCCGAAAACCGATTTGAAGTAAGGATGAGCATAAAAAAATTTCCCATATGGTGCAGACTTTTCCGCGGGCACTGTATATATATATTTGGAGTCAGGAAGAAAACATCTTTCATATCCTAAATATTAAAGGCTGTAGGTATTGACTCAATTATAATCAAATACCCTGTAAATGAGTTTTGCCTTTTCAAACATCTTCAACTGATACTATTTGTATAGGGTTTCACTGGGTAGTGCCTGAAGAATATTGTTTTTATTGTTTTTTTTTTGTGTGTGTAGCCTTTGTAGTTGTTTAACTGTTATAGGGGAGCATTTCCATAGCATTATACAGGGTGTAAATTTGAAAACTTTCAATGCAAATATCTCTGAAAGTAAAAAAGTTAGAAAAACGTAATTTGGTACAAATGCTACCTATATAGGTAGGGACAACTTAACTGCTGGACAATTGCTTTCGAGCAAGGAAATTTTTTCGCCTAAATTCCAAGCTCAATATTTTTGGAACCAGACCACATATCGACCTTTGGTTTTCACGGGCTGACAAATTGATTTTTTGTGAAACAAATTACTATATGGAAACCAGAGGTCAATATTTTAGTTCCAAAAATATTGAGCATGAAAGTTAGACAAAATTTTCCTTTTGCTAGAAAGCAATTGTCCAGCAGTTTATATAACCACCATATTTTGGTTATAATGACCTCTTGGGCCCCATGCACCCCCCCAACCCTAATATTTTAAATGCCACCGCCCTTTTTGTAATACCTAAAATTAGATATTTTTTGAAAAAATGCTTGTGCAGGTCCATGCTATACTCAAAAATATTTAATTTTAGGTATCACAAAAAGGGTGGTGCCATTCAAAATTTTGAGGCTGGGGTGCATGGGGCCCAAGGAGTCACTCACCTCATAACCAAAATATGGTGGTACTAGTTCCCCATACCAAATTACGTTTTTCTAACTTTTTTACTTTCAAAGATATTCGCATTGAAAGTTTTCTAATGGATACCGTATATGTGAAATGTGCTCAATAAAGCTATTGTATATTTAATATTTTAATTATAGGATCTGTTGTTCTTTTTCCCACTTGACCTAAGACCATATAGCGAGGAGTGTCTCACAGAGAATTTTACCATGCATGTATTTCCAAAATTTAGGTATTGCCAGTAATCCTGTATACTGTTAAATGTAATACTATGTAATTCCAATGAGCATGAACATAATGACCATATTTTGATTATAAATTATACTAAAGTTTGCACAGATCATCAACGTACATGTATTCCCACGTGTGAGACGCCCCTCGCCATATAGACCGCCTTTTCAACAACTGAGTTTATAGTTAGATAGCCAATCAAAATAGTGTTCTAGATCTTCATTTACAGTATTTCCAAGTTCTCTTTCATTTGTTCCAGACTATAAGAAGACATTATCATCACAAACTTTCACATATTTTGCTTTCAATCTAGCATACTTCAGGCTCTAGACATATAAAGGATACTCCACAGATCCTAGCACTGCCCACAGTTACATTTGCCTCGCTGCTCATTTCATTATTGACTTGCACTGTTTTCTCCGCACTGATTATGTTTTCCGCAATGTCCCTTGAAAATCCCATTTTTTGAAACTCTATTAGTCACAAAGTAATATTCACAGTCACAGTATCAAAAGCTTTTTGTAGATCGACAAACACACTTACAGCATATCTGTATCCAGTTGCCTCGATATACAGGGTGAATATCATGTACAAACGGAAGGTGATTCTTTGGTTTTTTTTTTATGACTGAAATTTCAAGTAAACATAGGTCCACAAACGCTTCATTACTGATCTACAGAATTTTGAAATTTTAATATTTTGTCAGTTTTTTTTTTGGAGCTCCTGCAATTTTTAAGAGATTTAGTTCAAATTTGGAATATAGGTACACAATAGGAGCTTAATGATTGCACAAGTCAAGTGTTCGCCAGAATCTAAACAGATGTCATCCTAAGCTCGTCATCCAGCCTAGCGATTTAACGTAGACGATGACGTCGCCAAGGGCGGTGCCTCCTCGCGGGTCATGCCCCCTTTTTTTGCGGTGCGCCGCTGGTAAATTCTAAAAA